GTACGATATTGACGTAGCAAAGCCTACTCGATTGTTTTGTATATCGAAAACTGAATAATAACGATATAGAAAGAAATCGCCTAAGATCCAAAAAAGATTGCCATTGGAATCTTTCGAGTCCGACGGAGAGAACACGCTATAACAAATGTAACCAGTCGATTGGTCACCAGTAATCCACAGATATTGTAGTGGTGTTAATATAAATACTATATCGCCTATTGTGAAGGTAATATTTGGAAATGAAGATAGTGAACGCGTATGACAATCAACCGTATACTTAATGAATGAAAAGACTTAAATGATATTCTCTAAGCAGCCTAGAACGAAGAAGGCATACAAGTTGACTATTTGAGTCATAGGTGGCACCAATGGCACCATTCAATGGGTCAACTTGAGCTGTGGGCCCAACGATTAATGTGGTGCTCGTATCAGCAATAGCATATGTTGATGAACTTATACTAGTTGATCCGACACTTACACTGCCCATATAATGATAAAAGTAGGTGAAATAGTGTGCTTAATAAACTGTTACTTGGCCATTGGGAACTCCCAATATCCTTCTATTGAAACAGATATATAAGTTATAGAACCTGTGTATTTACTCGGGTCTGCACCACCGAATATGAGTTCACCACCAGATGTGGCGTTAGTATCACTGAAATCAAAATTAACATATGAGATATTTTACATTCATTCATGGAACACTTACGGATTTAAATAGAAAGAAAAAATAGCTTGTGGAATGAGACCTTGAGACCACATGTTGTAGAAAAATGGTTTTTCGCCGTCGCTGGTCAAACTTGGAAAGGCAAGACCTAGGATACCATCGTTGATATCACCAGTCATACCTACAAGATATGTACATTCAGCGAATGTTTGGTTTTTGACTGCCATGCCATTAATCTGAATAAAATAAGCATTGAAAAATAGTCACTATTGAATGAATGGATTTTCTTTCTTTTTCACGCTTGTTAGATGAATGAAAATTCATCTGCATCATTTTCTTTAGTAGTTGACTACTTTGACCTGATCGAAGAAATAACTGAAGAGAACTAACTGATGGATTCACCGAACGAGGGTGTGGGTGTGTGGGTGTGTGGGTGTGTGGGTATGTGGGTGTGGATGCGTGGGTGTAGATGTGTGGATGTTGATATCTCTATCATCAACATACATACACTCGCGCCCACACTCACACTCACACCCTAATGTAGAGGTACCTACGCTGGGAGCCACCACTAAACAATAAAATCTGCACCACGATTGTCCCAAAACTCATGCACAAAAGATTTTACCCTCTACACTATGAATAAAGAAAAATATCAAATAAAAATTTAGATTTTCTTTGTTACTAATATGGATAATTAATAAATAAAAGTAACGGTTTCTATACTATTAGCATAGGAGAATGAAAAAGGAAAGTGAGGGGTTCACGAAAAAAATATTTATCCCATTTTACTTTTGTATCCCCAAGTTATCCCATTAGCCTTCTTAGTCCCTTCAAGTGCCACTAGCCCTTATAGCCCCTTGAGTTCTGTTGGTCCCCTTAGCATCATTTGGGGCGTGCTAGTTTCCTCAGGCGCCCTTTGGCACCTTCATTTCAACGACACTCACATCACCGTTCTGATCTACATCCTAAAAGGACTGAAGGGACTAAAGGGATAGCTTGGGGATCTAAGACTAAAACGGGATCTTCTTTTTCGTGCACTTATGAAAAAAGTAGGTATACAGCTCAATCCTGCTTTTTTAACTAATGTTTTCCACAGTAAAATTATTGATACGAGATTCCATCGACAGTGAGAGAACTAATCACTAGATCCGCCGCATGAAAAAAGCGCTGGTCAATAGAACCCGCTCACAAAAAAAGAGCGGGTAATCATAGGTTTGAGCCCGCGCTTCCAACTCATTGAGCGGTGAGTTGTCGTATACCTAATCCTAGATTATAAGTGAATTCGAACATATAAAATATTGAAATACACATTGGCTTTAAATAATCAACTCGTGATTGTATCAATATCGACCCTAGTCGAACTTTTTTTTCAAGCGCTTGACAAGACTTGAACTCAAGATGTGTCCATAGCGCAGGACCGTCTTGCCCAAGACGTTCAAGAAGATCATGCGCATGTGCACAAAAAAATTATAAAAATTCCTGGTATAGGTAACAACGTTTTTTCTTCAAACAATGCTCATTTAAAGAAGAAAAATGTTCGATTTGGATGCATTTTTTTTACAAAAATTTCTCTTATTATCCGCATGTCAAGAAATATTTCAAGATGTGTCCATAGCGCATGACTTTCTTGCTCAAGATCATCAAGTATGTCAAGGCGCATCCCAAAAAATGTTTGACTAGGGGAACTAATTCATCTGCACATTTGATGTCTAACTATGAATATTTCTATTTTATCTCAATAATTTTTAAAATAATTTACTGTTACAACATCGACACTGAGAAAGCCACTGGCTGAAGAACCATCACCATAGCCGATTGAAAAATTTCCCCCATTGGCTACATATGTTGTCGACTCTGCAGAATTATACTTATTGAAGCCATCTCAAAAGAATGAATTTTGATCAAGATCTGAATAATACTTAATTAAGTTTCGATAACCTACTGCAAGACGATTGACACTGGCTTGACGGCACCCATAGATCGGAGGAACCTGTATCGAAGTCGATAAGAAAGGTTTGAGGTGGCGTTCCGATTGAGATCGTTCCGATGAAATAGATCTGTTAACAAAAACTATATTTCAAGATTTATCGCCGATAAATTACCAATATAAGTGTTTCGATACCAAATATTTTGTTCATGTCTATATTTTTGACTATTTATAATCTATCAAAACTTCAGCGACTATCTTTTATTCTTGAAAATCAAATACGATTACGACTGGAAAAAATTGAGTGTTACTTTCGATTAGATGACCTAAAGGTGGATTGACACTAGCTTACGTCAAGTTCATTGGTGAGATTTTCGTTAACAGAAGAGGCTGCTAAAGAAATTTTGGTATCAGTGCTCAAAGACTTTTGACTGTTCGCCATAATTTTTGTCGGTACTATAGAATTTGTTCTGTTAGACGACGGTCGGTGAGCACGATGAATCGAAATTCTAGCGATTCAAAATAGATAAATTCATACACCGATTTAGTTAAGCACAAGTACTCACCGAAATATGTCATTGCCAGCTGACTTTTCACATAAGTGGACGATAATGAGCAGTACAAGTAATGTACTGGTCACCTTCAACATCATACTTCACCAGTTTTGTTAAGTCTGCCAAGTATTAGGCAAACGCTATTATCTAGAATCAAAAGCAAATCATTGTAGTTACAGATGATGGAAGAAGCAATAAACAATAGAGTAATATTATACACGGACGTGTCACAAGAATAAGCAACATTTTTATTTTGATTATTACTCAATATATCTGAGTGCATGTTTTTTTAACAAAATATTGGTGCGATTTATTTTTCTTATAAGGCTTACTCATAGAACTGTCAGCGACGTTGTCATTTCTCTTTAGTACAATGATTCTGAACAGAAAAGCGTTCTTCATGAGTCGAGTTTCTTGTTTTCGACAAACATATCGAATGCAGATGAAGAAAAATAATTCAAGTCTTTTATGCAGAAAAAAGAACTAGTTAATTTGAACCAGCAAGCTAAACTTTGCAATTACACAAGATAAAATAAATAAATACATAACTACAGTGATTAGGATGAAAAGAAAAATTAATCATTTCTGAGTAATCTTGCACGAAACCATTCATTGACGAAAGAAAGAAAAATCTTTCACTTCATATTATTATTAACTAAATGTGCTGCAATACGCAATGAGACATCCATTCTTTATTTGTTTTCGATAACATTTTACTTCACTATTTTGGTTGAGAGCAAATACTAGTAACGCTACCAAAATTGAAAAGGCTGGATGGTTTGTACTTTTAATAACTTCAGCATAAATCACGCTAGTGATTTTTTATTTTTACTAGTCAGTAGAGTATATTAGGAAGCGTTGAAATATATGAGAAACGTCGAGTTAATTTTAGTGAGTGTTGTACAGCTATTCTATGCTATTTGAAAAGGTGGTAACTTTGATTTTGTTTCTTATAAGCTTACTTTCTCAATAACATCGATGTAAAAAGAATCAAAGCAGCTTCGATTGGCACATGGTCGATCTCTCCTCTCGCCGTAGCTACTTGAGTGAGATGCTTGTAAAACTAATATACAACTATATATTTATTTAACTAACTGATTCGTTTGTAGCAAAGTCTCGTTTTGTTTTTTCTTGTAACTAGCTATTCGAAGTCTAGCGGTTTTAAAACATATCATAGGCATTGAAAGAATTCGATAACTATTCAGAAAAGTTATATGTCTGCTAAATGATTTAAATAGCCGATTCATTTATGTAATGAATTCTGTGCGGCTTCTTTACGTTTCATCAAGATATCTAAAGCAAATGTTCCTTAACAATCTATTGTAAGCTATATATAGTGTTTGTCCGACGGTGGGGAGGAGGATTGTGAATAGCCCTCCAATTGTGGAAAACTCTTGTTTATTGTACCCCTGACCGGAGTGAGCTGTCTAATTCGAATTCCAAAATGGATGACGTGCTTCCGTTATGTACAGTTACTTCGAGAAGAGATGAAAAAAAAATTCTGCCGACACTTCACTATGGCAAAAACAAAAAAAGTGAAAAAGCTTTTTTTTAATTATAAATTGCAGCTCGAATCGAGCTCTCTGGTAACTGCATCAAAAAAGCAGAAAAACAGAAAAAAAATTGTATAATGAATTATACTTCGAATGCGGATGTCGCAAAAATGCAGCAGAATAACAGAAAAATATATTCAAATTATACAAACATGTTATGTCCTGAGTTCACAGGGCCTTCTTTATTCACGTATAAGACATAACTGTTTTTAACAATAAACAAAAGGGGAGAAGAACGAAAGGANGTAATATTTGGAAATGAAGATAGTGAACGCGTATGGCAATCGACCGTATACTTAATGAATGAGAAGACTTCAACTGCTAGAACAACAACAGTATCGACAACTTCTACGATGAAAACAACAACGCATCCAACAACTTCTACGATGAAAACAAAAACGCATCCAACAACTTCTACGATGAAAACAACAACGCATCCGACAACTTCTACGATGAAAACAACGGCATCAACTGTTAGAACAACAACAATATCGACAACTCAAATGGAGTTATCATCTACAGCTGTGACAAGGACACAACCATTAGCAACAACCATCACCGAAACAGAAATATCTCCAATACCTAGCTAACACACACTGATCAATAAATCCGGGTAATGATCTACCCATGCACTTAAAAAAGTCGCCATTAAACCCTTGAAGGGTTTATTCCGATGTGATGAACCCTTTTAGCGTTTTTTAGCCGAAGGGTTTATGACGCTATGGGTTTATGAAAACTCAAGGGGTATACGATGGGTACATAAGGATTCGTTATTCTACGATTTTAAGATAAGAGAATATCCTTGAATCAATGCTAATAGATTGTTGTTCGCTTTCAAGGTAGGGGTATTTTATTCTTCGTTATCGATTTTACTATTTTACGTTTTCGTTAAAAGAGTACATCGCTCTGCCTTTCTGGATGCAGTAAGCTACCTTTTCTCAGAAACAGTTCATTATTCTACGCCTAAGGGTAGATTCTGCTATCATTTCCTGCTAAGGGTTTAGCATCCCACGCTCAACAGTTGATTCAGCTACATTTTAATAAAAAGGGTATAGTACTGTACGTGAATGCTTGATTCTATGCCTCTTCATTGGCAAGTTCTTTTATTCTACTGACAAATATCGTCCTATCTATCTTAGTATCTCAAGGGATGGTTTCATCATCGGTTGATGGTTGATTCTACTTCTCTTTTGTTGAAAGAAGTTCATTGTTCATCGTACAGGGGTTGATCTTTCTGCTCTTTCGTTGAAAGGGTTTATCATTCTACGTACAGAGATTGATTGTTCTACTGTTTAATCGGAAAGGTTTATTACTCTACGCACAGGGGTTGATTATTTTACCTTTGCGTCAAAAATGGTTTCTTAAGGTGTTGGTGTGAGGGTCTTTATCTGGTTAATGTTATTTTATACAGTAGCCCACGCGCTAACTTGATGAAAAGAAATAGTAAAATGCCCATCGTTTCTTTTTCACTGGTCACGACCGAAAGGAAATTATAGGCCACTTATTTGTTAAACTTGCGGTGTACATGAAACAATGTTTTGATATACGAAAATAAAAAGTAGCGAAATTAGAATCACACTTCATTGAGTCAGGTAAACATTTTGTATTAGAATAAATGAGGGGACATCGGATTCGCATCCGATTGTGGCGTGTACTGAAAAAACTGAGTCGATTTATATATTTTTTGAATAATTTTGAGGAAAAACATTTTTTTGAAAAAAATCCCTGTCCCCCCCCCGCAGGGCTAGCCTGGTCAATAATGACAATTTTTTCGATTACTCAGCCATTTCTTAACGGATCCTTCTCACCATCGAACTCGAGTGAGATATTGATGAGATCATTCTGTGTACAAAATTTCAAGACAATTGGGTGAGACTTTTAAGAGTTATTGTGTTAACGGTTGGACACACTGACCGAATCTAGAGTGTACTCGCTTTTTGAGTACACAAGAAAAGAAAAAATATGCAACGCCTATATATACAAAGTAATACCTCTTGCAGACTTACATTAAAAATAAGCATTTTGATATTGACTGCTAAGTAGTCCTATTCGACCATGGATATTTTTACATTAACGATGCGTGTGATTTTTACAATATAGCAGTGTAGATAATAATGGCAGCAAAAATGAGGAAAGATAAACATGTATTTTTGTGTTTAATGTGAAGATATTGAAAAAACGGAGATAGAAAGTGTTACAGAGATCCCGCTGTAACTTAAATCAATTCACAAAATATAAATTTATGTTCCTATTTAACCAATCAGCAACAAATTTCCTATTTTGGATTCCTAATCTGAATCTGAATCTTTTCTTTAGTATTCTTTTTTTCCTGTTTGTACTACACAATCCACATACACCCACATCCACACCCCACACCCTCGCTGTTTGTTTATCTGGCTGACGCTGGGCTTTGCCCTCTTGATTGCTTCCCGCACATAGAATATGTTTGATCGTTCTTGCGCACAATTCTTGTTTCAAATTCTGATTCAGATAAGTTTCCCTCATAAGAGCAGTATTGATAACTTCTGTTTCATGAAAAAAACTGTTCCATAATTCATGAATATGTCGGTGATTGTTCGCGAGTCGTTTTTCATGTCTTCGATGAATGATGACACTTTTTCCTTTTGTTAATTTGTAATTGTCTGTGGGCTGCAGAAGCTGATTTTGGATATTTTTGTCGGGAATTTCATCGATAGTTGAAATTTGGGTTGTTTTGTCGTATGCTGTACCTGTTGATGTTGTCAATAACTGATGACGTAAGTAACGGAAGTCATCAGAGTTATTGAGCATAGGGAAAATAAAGTTTTTCAATAAATATTTACTGAATAATGTAGTGAGCGCCGATAGATATGTCTTGGCGAGTACCTATAAGTCATATACAAAGAATGGAAAACATAAATGAATACAGGGAACATACCCGTTATAGAGAAACATGCGTTTCATTTGTCGTATTTCTTCTTCAAATTCAAATAAGGTTGTTGAATAACGAACTGCTCTCGTGATAGCAGTATCAACAGTGTTTCGGAAAACATGACCAGGGTGATCTGATCCAAATGGTACGACATACGGCTCAGCTGCTTCTTTATGATACACTGAAGTTGTTAAAGTACCCTTTCTGTTCTCAATGAGTACATCAAGAAATGGAACACTTCTACCAATTTGCCGCCCTAGTTTAATGTTAGGATGAAAGTTATTAGCTTCATCTAACATTTGGTCGATACATTCTAGTGAGTCGTTCGACGTAAAGAAAATATCATCAACATATCTAAAATGAGACATTATATGCAAGGTATATTCTTCTATGAACCATGTTAAATACCGGCCGTAGATTTCATTGGATACTTCCAGTCGGTGAACAAGTTGTTTCTGCCATTTCCACATTAAAATATTAGCTAGTGTTAAAGTAAATGCTGAGCCCATCGCACCACCAATGACCTGTCGTTAGAATTTTTTCTCATAAACAAAAACATTTTCTTTAATGGCAATAAGAGCTAACTTTCGAATTTATCGATCGGAATATTATGAACTTTTTGATAACCATGTTGAAGAAGAAAATCAATTAGAATATCAAGTGATTCTTCTTGTGGTAACATCGTATAGAAATCTGTAATATCAAATGTGCACAAACATGTTTTTGGTATGAGATGCCCATTTGTTGTGTATGCTTCTAAACGATGAATCAAATCAACTCCATCAATAAATGTGGTTGAACGCGCATGTTTATCAAATATCGGTCGTATTAATTTATCCAAAAACATTGAGATTCCTGTCGTTGGCATATTCATTGATGATACAATAGGCCTCAATGGTGTTCCTGCCTAGTAAAACGAGTTGAAGAGAGATAAGAATCAAAGATTAGAAATGAATTACCTTGTGAGGTTTAGGAATGAAATATAAATAAGCTAACTGAACTTTATCTCTCTTTGGCATCATTTTATCTAGCTGCCACGATAGAATATAAATCAATGTAAGAACCAGTTTCTTATCGATAAGCTTCTTCTTTCTTTTCATAATCAACTGAATTACCAATATGAAAAATTCCACTTTTATCGGTCTCGCGAAGAATACAGTTTCCTTTCTTTAGTCTATATTGAATCGATTTCATTTGTTTTAATTCTTTTTGTGCTCGATATATGTTTAGATAAGATACTTGAGTCATATATTGTTGACGCAGGCATGTTTCAAGTTGTTGAAAAAATTCTCTGAGAACTGTTGCTGTTAGTGGAATATGATGCTCACGGATAAGATAACGAGTTATCACATTCATAATGTTCTTATGTTCTTGCTGTACATGTTTTTCTTGATGTTTATAAGAGTGAAGAGAATTTTGATTTGGTATGATATAATTAGGTCCTTGAAATGGAAAATATATCAAGATAAGAATAAATTAACGACTGAGATAATACTATAAAAAAAAAGGTATCTACTTACCACGTTGTGAAAGATAATCTAATTGAAATCGATTCAATGATTCTTTAGAAACGTCGACAATGATTCGTGGATAGACATCGACTATTTGATGTTTTGATAATAAATGACGACGATGCTGACGTAGTAATTTTACATGGACACAAGATTATTCGTAACGAATTTGACGTATTAATCGATTGGTGTAATGACTCAAATAACATTCCAATAAAGTCATCAATATATCTATCTGAATATGTTGATGATTTAAGCTTACGTCTATGAGTTTAGATTCACATATATTGATTTCTGTTTGATACAAATCTTCATAATATTGAAGTTCCAATTGATAATTTTTCAGTTGATCATTAAGCTTTCGACGTTTCAATTCTTGCATAATTTTATTAGCTTCATTTCCAAATAAATTTTGATGCCCAGATCAATGATTCCGGAGGACGGATACCGTAGGAACCGGCCGGAAAGCTGCGGAAAAATCGCTGTATCTGGCTGGAAAGCACGGGAAAGTGGAAGCAGTATTCCGGTTGGAAGTTACCGGACTTTTCTCCTGTAGATTTCAGTCAGTTTCCAGTGCTTTCCGGCTGGAAGTTGACCGGAATCCACAGGGAAAAAGTCTGGTAATTTCCGACCGAAATACTGCTTCCACTTTCCAACGCTTTCCGGCTGTTTTCCGCCGTGCCTCCACGACCTGGGTATGTAACTATTGGAATATCATCGAATGTTTTTGGCAATGTATGACATAAGATTCGTTGTTCGAACATAGTCAAATCTTCGAAAATTTTTAACTGCTTCTTGCGTATAGTGGTGACCTGATCGATTGCTTGATACTAGACAACATAAAACGATAATAGGAAGAATCCGAAGCGTTCTTCTTACTTGTACTTCAGTTAAGTACTAAGAAGATAATTGATCAAACAATCGTTTTTCATAGATAATGTCTTTTAATTTATGTTTTTGATAGTTTACTGTTCTCACTAAATCAATATGATGTAAACGAACAAATTCTTTCAATCTCTGATCTATCATCTCCAGACAATGTAATGTAGTGGGACAAGATGATAACTGCATCATTAATTCGTTTTTATGCTGATTGATTCTGCCTTTCAACAATATAAAATATTCTTCAAGTGATTTCTGAATAATATCACTTTCATTTGATTCCATTGTTTGAACTATATCATCCTGTAGATGAAAGTAACACTATTGTATGAGCCAGAGACCGAAATCGAATCGAATGATACTTCTAGAAAAGAGGTCGAATCGAATCGATTCGTTTTTTTTCAGTTTCATTCGGCTATTGAAAATCATTTTCTTTGTTCTGGTGTTATGGTCGAAGGCAGTTGACTAGTATAAGAGATGACGCATGAAAAAGGACGTCCACTGTTTCTCTTTCTTTGTTTCTGTCAGTCGTGCTTATTTAATGGTCATTCCTGTTCTGTTCATATCGTTATCATGGTCAAGTGCATTTTGATTGGCATAAGAAATGCTCACTTACAACGAGTGTTCCATCTTTCTTTCTTTTTTCGTTAGTCAATTTAGGCCCCAATCACACTGAGAAGTAAATTAACATTATAGTTGAATTAAGCCATGTGACTGGTGCATTAAGAGTTAAGTAATACTTTAGAGGTGNTCTCTCTCTCTCTCTCTTGGCTGCGTATATAAACGCGTGTTGTGGATGTAAACGAGGCGATTTGTGATACGAAGAAGCTAAATAAAGCGTAGTTCCATCAGCGCAAGCATCTCTTGTATCTAAAATCGTCACATTGGCGACCCTGACTATCGACCCTGTTACTCATCTGTGTTCGAAGTCAAGCATATTCATCTTGATTTACAACATCATCTTTACATCGCCTTTTATTTTGAACAACACGGAATGAAACGACGATGAGAATTATGCTCGAGATGTCGAATTAATGGAGATGATGTAGGGACAGTAATACTGCTGATGCGAGCAGTAGTGTTACTGAAGATCAGCGAACGTACTAAAGGGCGGCTTGTGTCCCAGCCGACTATGCGCAGACCCAACGCATTTACCTTATAACATTCGTGCGTGATGCGCTGTATCGTCTCGACTCACTCTATGATTCAACACTTTGTTCATTTTCTCCACTCGTTTCATATACAAACATCTACAACACAACCCTATTGATCTTCGTTAACTTACAGGTGACATCAACATCTAAAATTGCAATTGCTGAGGTTCTATTGTTGTGACCTGTAACCTCCTCAATGAACTGAAACCGAGTAGCTGTGTGACTAGTCGATTCAGTCGTGAGCAGAATGCTTTGGAAGTGTTCCCCTTTCATGGCCTGGTGCCTTGTCTCATCAAAACGACTATTGTACTTGGATTGTATTAATCAAAAGATAACTAATAGCATTATGTGTTTGTACATGTTGCAGGTGCACTTCATGCCAAACTTTAAATATGTTGTTTGTTTTCTTTTCCTATTTTGTTTTGTTTTTGTCGCCTCATAGTTCTCTTCTCGTAATTTTTTGTATTTTCGTAGTGATCTTTTCTCTGATTCATTCGTGAGTCCTTCTCTTGCTGTTACTAGGAGACGCCCAGGAGTGCGTCTGATTTTGATGTGGGAGTGTGACGTTCTATTATGAGTGTTCATACATCACTTTATCTTCTGACTTTTCCTCTTCAACATATATATTGCCGTTCATGTGTTTATAACTAAGATTAGCTTGTTG